CGCTTGTACCTGTTTCCTCTATAGTAGCTTACTGTTGTTGAAACGTTTTAGCAACGACTCCCAAGCAATTTTATAATTGACGCTAGTTATCTTTAGCGGATCGACTAGCGCCCTAGCTTCGCCTGCTAAGCAACCTTTAAAATAGTGAAAATTCTCCACATTCGGAAGTTCTGCCGTCTCATGGATCAAGGACGTGTAGAGATCCCTGAAACTCAGCCAGTCATCGATGTCTCCGTCGAGACAGCTTGATTTGCGGCAGGCGTACACGGTCCATTGTACCATGGGTACTGGCGGCGTCCGCACTCCGTGTTGACTGATTTAGTGCTGATTCTTCCTGGAACTTCATGGCTTTCTCCATCAAGAACGATTTCGCATCGTAGTAGCGATTCTCGAACTCCAGGTGCTCTTTTTCGACACCTTCTTGCTCTTCGTAGTCCTCATGCGATTCGATCTCCGAAGAAGTCTCACTAATTTGCTCCCACAACAAACCTATACGTTCAAGGCGGACATTGACCTGACTAGCTGTTGTACCCTCCTTATAATACCTAACGAACTGACTAATGTTGTTTAACGACGCTCGAAAACCCTTGAGTTTTGACGTCAACACCTTCAAGGAGTTGGTTGACCTGGTAATCTTCGTTGACATGGTTGTTGTCGGAGGAATCACGTTACAGAAACGAAGAACCAAGAGCCAGTCGTAAGTTGGTAGATACTAGTGATGCGTTGCTCCACGCGATGTTTGGCGAAACGTTGAAATATCCGAGAATCGAAAGGAATCGGCGATGTAGTATGCAAATTGTCTGCTTCGGCTGGACATATACTGTTCAACTCACCTGTGAGAAGAACCAGTTGTGCTACCGAAGCCAGATAGCAGTAAATTCCAAAACTGTACACCTCAAAACGTTTGATCGGGAATCTCGGTATTCCAATTCGAGCCAGTGAAGAGCGAAGGAGTGGAAAAGCGAATGTAGTAACCAATATTTGAGCTTCGGCTGAACATATACCGTTCGGCTTACCTGTGCAAACGACAGTTTGTGCTAACAGCCGAATCCAAATTGCCTCAAAATCACGATAACTATCCTTTCGAACCAGGAAGATGTAAAGCCTTACGGTAACAATTCGGTAGATCGTATCGAAATCCAGTGCAGCGAAGGAGAAATGTACCAATGTAGGTGTAGGATCAATAAATTCCAGCTTCAGCCGGGCATATACTGTATTTATGTATTTACCTGGCCAAGATGACCGTTGCACGATGCCCGAGCCTGAAATCGTGATGTCATGCCGTCTATTGTCTAGTCATAAGGAAGTAGCACCAGAATCGTCGTCGACCGTCCTCAATCGCCACCGAATTCCTCGAATGGTGCCCGAAACCAAGTTCTTCGAGAACTGATTCACCACTTCGACGTCCGTAAGTACTCGTCGATTCGCCAACAATAACACAAGTCGAAATGAGGGTGTTAGTTGAGAAATTTTGTCACTTCGGCGGACATATACCAGTTCTTACATACCTGAGTGGTAGCAGAACAACGCTCTGGTTGTCCTACAATCCTGATGATTGTCGAAAGTAACCGAGTAGAGCCAATATCCACTTATGAAAACTGGTTGCACTAGCTGGAGACGATTCTGTTGAAGGACGATGGCGACCTTTCTCTCTGTTCCACAGCTAGTCGATGATTTTCAGCGATGGTGGGTTTCCCGATGTAGGATAATAGGTGATGTTGTTTGGTTGCAATAGATCCTTTCACGTAATTGACGATGGCGATCGAATCCTTTGATCCACTTCAAGGATGGCGATTGGTCTTTTGTGGCATACGAGGCTGGCGGTTTGGTGCTCGTACGATGGCGCACTTCGATCGTACCTTGGTCAAATCGTAGAGATTTGGCCGATCCAAAATCCACCGGCAGTAGAAATCCGGTTCGTATTTGAAAGTTTTTCTTGAACCGATGGCCACCATCTTGGATTCTAAAGTGCAGTCTGGAATCGATTTCCGACCTCTACACGTCATCTTCTTTCCGAAAATACCCATATTGTAGGGTATTTGACCGTTTTTCTTGAACCGATGGCCGCCATCTTGGATTCCAAAATGACGTCTGGCATCGATTTCCAGCCTCTCTACACGTCATCCCTATTCTGTTTCGTGTCCTCACATTGCACAGCAACATCTTATATGGACAAGCTTTCCAGACATAACATATTAGGGAAGTTCATGCGCAACTCTCTCACTAGCGCCGCCTAGTGAGAGAGTTTTTAAATAATATGATCATCATCCGAAAGGACTTGGTCACCTGAACAACTTTGCTCAAGACAGCACCTTTCTATATGGCCAGGTTTTCGAGATACAGTTTATATAGGAAGTTCGCATGCACACTAGCGCTGCGTAGTGAGAGAGTTCTGAACTGATATGGCCACCATCCAAAAGGACTTGATCACTTGAACAACTGTTCCCAAGACAGTAACTTTCTATATGGCCAGGATCACGAAATATTCTATGTTGGACCTATGATCCATATATTATAGCGCCCGTCATAAGTAACATAAAAGTGAAGCGCCTCTAGCGGCATAGTTACCAATTAAACCTTATTCCAATGACACAGGCTTGTTGGTCTATCTCAGTACAACAACTTTGTTGAAGACAGTGTAGCTTTATATATTGAAACAAATAAGATAATCCACCACAGCCCCTATTTGTGAAAATCCCATAAGCTGTGGGAATCCTTATTCGCGGATAGCCCGGCAATAAGGATCCGACGATAAGGATTCCTGACTGTAACTTATTTAGTCAAGGTCCAAACACCCTGAAAGTTTCATTGAAATCTGAGAGGGGGCTGCCAGCTCCGAATACGATTTCGTGCGAAATGCGTCCAAGTGTATTTAGAAAACATCTCTAGGAACTAGGTCCTTACAGACTTAGGGCAATTTGTAAAAGTAAAGTCAACTTCATTTGATTACAGAGAACTTGAAGGACGTTTGTCGATCATCATGAAACTTTGTAGAACTTTAGGATACTTTGGAGTTCGGGAAACTTTCCAGAATTGCAGCGAATTTGTTAGAAGTTCAGCTATCTTTGTAGAACTTTATCAAACATTGTAGAAATTACCGACCATTATAAAAATTTAGCGAAGACAACAAATCAAGAAGACTGGCAACTCTTCTATTTTCTCATACGAACGCTATGAGACAGGTATAATCGCGTCATCTGCCGCTCAAAGGTAAATGCTTCGAAGGAATTTGATAGCAAAGATTACATCCTCAGAAGAAGGGTTTGTGTATTTGCTCATTTTTCTATGCGTTGCTTCCATCTTCACTCAAGCGCAGCGCCATTGTATCGGTCGCTTGGATTCTGGCAAAGTTGCCAGTCTTCTTGATTTGTTATCTTCGAATTCAGTGAATTTCGTAAAAATTCGGGTAACTTAGTTGAAATTCAGGGATTTTTCAATAACTGCAGAGGACATCATAAAACTTCAGGTACTTTGTAGATATTCAGGGTACATCGTAGAAATACAGGAAATTTCTTAGAAATTCGTGGTACTTCGTAGAAGTTAGGGGAATTTTGTTTAATTTCAAGGATCTTCCTAAAAGTTCGGGGAACTTGTTTTAACTTCATGGTACTTCGTTGAAGGGTACTGGAATTGGAATCAGGATCAGGAGATTCCGTACAAGTTCAATAAACTTCTTAAAACTTCAGGAAACTTGGGAGAAAATTGAATTCCTAAAAGTTTAGGGAGCTTTGGAGAAGTGTGGCGATCTTCATAGTAGAACGTAAGAAGCTAAGCGAATTTTGCTGAACATCAGGGTTCCGGTAACTGTTGTTGACGCTCAGCAGGGAATATTGTAAACGTTCAGCAAATTTCTCATGTCCTTCAAGCATCTTCTAATCAGTTTCTCAGAGAACTTAAACCGATTGTTCAAAGCGTTATTTTTAGAGTTTCGACAAACATTTTTTTGAAGACTAAAATACTGGCAACCCTGCTCGTAAGAACTGATCAATTAATATCATGCTGAACGAAACGATATCCCTATCGATTCAAGAAGAACGGTTGTAAATCTCCTGCATATGACATTGAGTACCTCAGGCTAGACCAATTATTACGATCCACAGTTTGTGTCAATTTATATCCGGCTAATTTCGTGCCAACAAGTCCAAGTAGTTGCCCAGAACCGGACCGAAAATAATCAAGTTAATTGTCTCTCGCAGTAGCAGCAGAGATAGGGGGAAAACGAGCTTTGCGTGCTGGCTGGCTGTTTGTCTGTCTGTGAACAAGACTGACTGAGTGGATTCAAAAGTCGTTAATTTCCTCAAAAGCAATTATCCACCGTCAAAAAGTCATTATAGACGGTCATCAGAACGAATCGCTCGGTGTCGGTGTGGATGTGCTAGGTGCTAGGATAAACAACAACACGCTGATGAACGCGATCCGTGGGATGATAAATACCAACATCAACTTCTGTAGGTTCTAGAAAAAGCAATCTCCGAATTACTTTCAGCACTACTTTTGTTACTCATATTTGTGGAAATACAATTTATCTTTGACTTAAGTTGACGATTGTGGGCAAACTGTAGTCAAATTTGCCTAAAAGTTACTCAAATTGTGGTTGGATTTTGACCCAAAAGCAACATACAAAAATTCTCTTAAAATAGTCAGTCATACCTTAAATGGCCTATGCAAACGCCACTTGAGATGACTTTGAAAACTCCGAAATTGTCTAACTCAACTCAACACAAAAATTAAAAAAAAAAATCAAGAAACTCAAACTCACCACGGTGTGGTTAGAATTGTAGCTCTGGTGAGTTTTGCTAGCGAAGCTACCTGCATGTTGATTTTTGTCTACGAAAATCAAGCATTATCTTGGGCATTGGTGAAATTGGATTTTTTTATATTTTCCCAACAGTGACAGGGGGATATTGACATTGAAGTGCGTTTCTGATTCTTAAATACTCGTTGGACTTCCATCTATTATTGACCCAACAATTAACGAATCCGTTTTCGATTCTTTTTAGGTTCTACAACAGCGGCTGGACCATGCGACTCGGTCACGGATCTTCCTCAGCAAGAAGCTGGACAAATCGAAGGAGGACATGGACGATCTCAAGTTTAAGGTAAGTTGTTTCTTTGAAAATTTAGGCAAATTGTGTCTGATATAATTTTGATGGTTAAAAAACAAAACAAATGAGGCAATCGAAGAATTTACATTCAAATTTATTCCCCTCGCACAGACATCAAAATCAAGCAACCAAATGGGCGCATTCAATCTCAACTAATAAGCGATGAGTCGAAATGGCCATATTCGCAATGAGCAGGGCCGTCGAAGTATCTCTGTGAATCGGAAGAGGTTCCTAATCACAGGAGGACTGAAACTGTTGCATCGTTCATTCCACCGAAGCGAAAACGTCAAATACACTTCTCTGATGTTTGTCTGAACGCTTAAGTGTGAGTGCAAGAATCGAGTAAATTAGCAGTATAAGTGCAAGGAAACCGTGTACATTAGGGTGCTTCATTCTGAAAAAAGTGATGAATTTCTGATGGGCCACCCTCCAGTTCGATTCATAGCCCCAAAATATGAACCTGTGCAAAAATTGGTAAAGATTGATGAAGGTTTAGAGGTCGCGCCAATGATTTGAAATTTGTATGGGAATTACTATGGAAGAATTTAAAAAATCGCTTATATCGCTATAACTTTGCTTCTACTTGTCCAAATGTCGAAAAAATTTAGTATGTTATTGCTATGGCAATAAACAAAAAGCCTACAGTTGCTACGCTCAGTTTTGCAGCGTATCAAGAATTATAAAAATGTGAAAAAATGGCAAAATAGGGTAAATTGACAGATGAATATGTACAAGGCAACAACGCCAATTTCATCGCAACAACAACAGGCTTGTTGATCATTGTCATGACAACCACATATTTTTTTTTTTTCAACGTTTGGACAACTACAACCAAAGTTAGAGCAATGTAAACGAAAATCAATAATTTCCCATACTAATTCACCAAAATCTCCATACAAAATCCAAATCATTGGCGCGACCTCTAAACCTTCATCAATCTTTACCATTTTTTGCACAGGTTCATATTTTGGGGCTATGAATCGAACTGGAGGGTGGCCTATCAAAAATTCATCACTTTTTTCAAAATGAAACACCCTAGTGTACATATACCTCTAGAAATTACCCAAAGTTCTTCATTAATATTTGGGCATTCAGAGAAGTCTATACACGGTCGATTAGACTAACTCAGAGAGATAATCACTTGCACTCAGTTGTATGAGAAATTGCTAAACAAGACAAATTACTCAGCGATGAGTGACCTGCCTTTTTTTAGAAACTTAGCATACAACTACGCAAAAGTGATAATCTCTCTGAGCTAGTCTCATCGGCCGTGATTCGAATGGGCAATACACTCTAATACCCCGTTCACATTACATCCTATATCACGTAATATAGGCTGTCTTGAAATGAGCACTCATACATAGGATTTCAAGCGAAAACTAGATGTATGAGTGCTCATTGCAAGACAGCGTATATCACGTGATATACGCTGTAATGTGAACGGGGTATAAAATGTAAATTCCAATTTGATGGGTAAACCAACCGTTTAACAACCTGACATCCTACAAATTATTTAGTTCGAGGAACTTGTCAAAAGTTTAAAAACTTGTCAAAAGTTCGAGGAACTTGTCAAAAGTTCGAGGAACTTGTCAGAAGTTTGTGGAACTTGTCAAAAATTTATGGAACTTGTCAGAAGTTCGAGGAACTTCTCAGAAGTCTGAGGAACATCTCAGAAGTTTGTGGAACTTCTGAGAAGTTCGTGGAACTTGTCAAAAGTTCGAGGAACTTGTCAGATGTTCGAGGAAATTGTCAAAAGTTCTAGGAACTTGTCAGAAGTTTGAGGAACTTGTCAGAAGGTTGGGGAACTTGTCAGTAGTTCGAGAAACTTGTCAGAAGTTCAAGGAACTTCTCAGAAGTTTGAGGATCTTCTCAGAAGATAGAGGAACTTCTCAGAAGTTTGAGGAACTTCTCAGAAGTTTGAGGATCTTCTCAGAAGTTTGCGGAACTTCTCAGAAGTTTGAGGAACTTCTCAGAAGTTTGAGGAACTTCTCAGAAGTTTGAGGAACTTCTCAGAAGTTTGAGGAACTTCTCAGAAGTTTGAGGAACTTCTCAGAAGTTTGAGGAACTTCTCAGAAGTTTGAGGAACTTCTCAGAAGTTTGAGGAACTTCTCAGAAGTTTGAGGAACTTCTCAGAAGTTTGAGGAACTTCTCAGAAGTTTGAGGAACTTCTCAGAAGTTTGAGGAACTTCTCAGAAGTTTGAGGAACTTCTCAGAAGTTTGAGGAACTTCTCAGAAGTTTGAGGAACTTCTCAGAAGTTTGAGGAACTTCTCAGAAGTTTGAGGATCTTCTCAGAAGATAGAGGAACTTCTCAGAAGTTTGAGGAACTTCTCAGAAGTTTGAGGATCTTCTCAGAAGTTTGCGGAACTTCTCAGAAGTTTGAGGAACTTCTCAGAAGTTTGAGGAACTTCTCAGAAGTTTGAGGAACTTCTCAGAAGTTTGAGGAACTTCTCAGAAGTTTGAGGAACTTCTCAGAAGTTTGAGGAACTTCTCAGAAGTTTGAGGAACTTCTCAGAAGTTTGAGGAACTTCTCAGAAGTTTGAGGAACTTCTCAGAAGTTTGAGGAACTTCTCAGAAGTTTGAGGAACTTCTCAGAAGTTTGAGGAACTTCTCAGAAGTTTGAGGAACTTCTCAGAAGTTTGAGGAACTTCTCAGAAGTTTGAGGAACTTCTCAGAAGTTTGAGGAACTTGTCAGAAGGTTGGGGAACTTGTCAGTAGTTCGAGAAACTTGTCAGAAGTTCAAGGAACTTCTCAGAAGTTTGAGGATCTTCTCAGAAGATAGAGGAACTTCTCAGAAGTTTGAGGAACTTCTCAGAAGTTTGAGGATCTTCTCAGAAGTTTGAGGATCTTCTCAGAAGTTTGCGGAACTTCTCAGAAGTTTGAGGAACTTCTCAGAAGTTTGAGGAACTTCTCAGAAGTTTGAGGAACTTCTCAGAAGTTTGAGGAACTTCTCAGAAGTTTGAGGAACTTCTCAGAAGTTTGAGGAACTTCTCAGAAGTTTGAGGAACTTCTCAGAATTTTGAGGAACTTCTCAGAAGTTTAAGGAACTTGTCAGAAGGTTGGGGAGCTTGTCAGTAGTTCGAGAAACTTGTCAGAAGTTCAAGGAACTTCTCAGAAGATAGAGGAACTTCTCAGAAGATAGAGGAACTTCTCAGAAGTTTGAGGAACTTCTCAGAAGTTTGAGGAACTTCTCAGAAGTTTGAGGAACTTCTCAGAAGTTTGAGGAACTTCTCAGAAGATTGAGAAACTTCTCAAAAGTTTGAGGAACTTCTTAGAAGTTTGAGAAACTTCTCAGAAGTTTGAGAAACTTCTCAGAAGTTTGAGAAACTTCTCAGAAGTTTGAGAAACTTCTCAGAAGTATGAGAAACTTCTCAGAAGTTTGAGAAACTTCTCAGAAGTTTGAGAAACTTCTCAGAAGTTTGAGAAACTTCTCAGAAGTTTGAGAAACTTCTCAGAAGTTTGAGAAACTTCTCAGAAGCTTGAGAAACTTCTCAGAAGCTTGAGAAACTTCTCAGAAGTTTGAGAAACTTCTCAGAAGTTTGAGAAACTTCTCAGAAGTTTGAGAAACTTCTCAGAAGTTTGAGAAACTTCTCAGAAGTTTGAGAAACTTCTCAGAAGTTTGAGAAACTTCTCAGAAGTTTGAGAAACTTCTCAGAAGTTTGAGAAACTTCTCAGAAGTTTGAGAAACTTCTCAGAAGTTTGAGAAACTTCTCAGAAGTTTGAGAAACTTCTCAGAAGTTTGAGAAACTTCTCAGAAGTTTGAGAAACTTCTCAGAAGTTTGAGAAACTTCTCAGAAGTTTGAGAAACTTCTCAGAAGTTTGAGAAACTTCTCAGAAGTTTGAGAAACTTCTCAGAAGTTTGAGAAACTTCTCAGAAGTTTGAGAAACTTCTCAGAAGTTTGAGAAACTTCTCAGAAGTTTGAGAAACTTCTCAGAAGTTTGAGAAACTTCTCAGAAGTTTGAGAAACTTCTCAGAAGTTTGAGAAACTTCTCAGAAGTTTGAGAAACTTCTCAGAAGTTTGAGAAACTTCTCAGAAGTTTGAGAAACTTCTCAGAAGTTTGAGAAACTTCTCAGAAGTTTGAGAAACTTCTCAGAAGTTTGAGAAACTTCTCAGAAGTTTGAGAAACTTCTCAGAAGTTTGAGAAACTTCTCAGAAGTTTGAGAAACTTCTCAGAAGTTTGAGAAACTTCTCAGAAGTTTGAGAAACTTCTCAGAAGTTTGAGAAACTTCTCAGAAGTTTGAGAAACTTCTCAGAAGTTTGAGAAACTTCTCAGAAGTTTGAGAAACTTCTCAGAAGTTTGAGAAACTTCTCAGAAGTTTGAGAAACTTCTCAGAAGTTTGAGAAACTTCTCAGAAGTTTGAGAAACTTCTCAGAAGTTTGAGAAACTTCTCAGAAGTTTGAGAAACTTCTCAGAAGTTTGAGAAACTTCTCAGAAGTTTGAGAAACTTCTCAGAAGTTTGAGAAACTTCTCAGAAGTTTGAGAAACTTCTCAGAAGTTTGAGAAACTTCTCAGAAGTTTGAGAAACTTCTCAGAAGTTTGAGAAACTTCTCAGAAGTTTGAGAAACTTCTCAGAAGTTTGAGAAACTTCTCAGAAGTTTGAGAAACTTCTCAGAAGTTTGAGAAACTTCTCAGAAGTTTGAGAAACTTCTCAGAAGTTTGAGAAACTTCTCAGAAGTTTGAGAAACTTCTCAGAAGTTTGAGAAACTTCTCAGAAGTTTGAGAAACTTCTCAGAAGTTTGAGAAACTTCTCAGAAGTTTGAGAAACTTCTCAGAAGTTTGAGAACCTTCTCAGAAGTTTGAGAACCTTCTCAGAAGTTTGAGAACCTTCTCAGAAGTTTGAGAACCTTCTCAGAAGTTTGAGAAACTTCTCAGAAGTTTGAGAAACTTCTCAGAAGTTTGAGAAACTTCTCAGAAGTTTGAGAAACTTCTCAGAAGTTTGAGAAACTTCTCAGAAGTTTGAGAAACTTCTCAGAAGTTTGAGAAACTTCTCAGAAGTTTGAGAAACTTCTCAGAAGTTTGAGAAACTTCTCAGAAGTTTGAGAAACTTCTCAGAAGTTTGAGAAACTTCTCAGAAGTTTGAGAAACTTCTCAGAAGTTTGAGAAACTTCTCAGAAGTTTGAGAAACTTCTCAGAAGTTTGAGAAACTTCTCAGAAGTTTGAGAAACTTCTCAGAAGTTTGAGAAACTTCTCAGAAGTTTGAGAAACTTCTCAGAAGTTTGAGAAACTTCTCAGAAGTTTGAGAAACTTCTCAGAAGTTTGAGAAACTTCTCAGAAGTTTGAGAAACTTCTCAGAAGTTTGAGAAACTTCTCAGAAGTTTGAGAAACTTCTCAGAAGTTTGAGAAACTTCTCAAAAGTTTGAGAAACTTCTCAAAAGTTTGAGATACTTCTCAGAAGTTTGAGGAACTTCTCAGAAGTTTGAGGAACTTCTCAGAAGTTTGAAGAACTTCTCAGAAGTTTGAAGAACTTCTCAGAAGTTTGAAGAACTTCTCAGAAGTTTGAAGAACTACTCAGAAGTTTGAAGAACTACTCAGAAGTTTGAAGAACTTCTCAGAAGTTTGAAGAACTTCTCAGAAGTTTGAAGAACTTCTCAGAAGTTTGAAGAACTTCTCAGAAGTTTGAAGAACTTCTCAGAAGTTTGAAGAACTTCTCAGAAGTATGAAGAACTTCTCAGAAGTTTGAAGAACTTCTCAGAAGTTTGAAGAACTTCTCAGAAGTTTGAAGAACTTCTCAGAAGTTTGAAGAACTTCTCAGAAGTTTGAAGAACTTCTCAGAAGTTTGAAGAACTTCTCAGAAGTTTGAAGAACTTCTCAGAAGTTTGAAGAACTTCTCAGAAGTTTGAAGAACTTCTCAGAAGTTTGAAGAACTTCTCAGAAGTTTGAAGAACTTCTCAGAAGTTTGAAGAACTTCTCAGAAGTTTGAAGAACTTCTCAGAAGTTTGAAGAACTTCTCAGAAGTTTGAAGAACTTCTCAGAAGTTTGAAGAACTTCTCAGGAGTTTGAAGAACTTGAGAAACTTCGCAGAAGTTTGAAGAACTTGAGAAACTTCTCAGAAGTTTGAGAAACTTCTCAGTAGTTCGAGGCACTTGTCAAAAGTTCGAGGAACTTCTCAGAAGTTCGAGGAACTTCTCAGAAGTTCGAGGAACTTCTCAGAAGTTCGAGTAACTTCTCAGAAGTTTGAGGAACTTCTCAGAAGTTTGTGGAACTTCTCAGAAGTTTGAGAAACTTCTCAGAAGTTTGAGAAACTTCTTAGAAGTTTGAGAAACTTCTCAGAAGTTTGAGAAACTTCTTAGAAGTTTGAGAAACTTCTCAGAAGTTTGAAAAACTTCTCAGAAGTTTGAGGAACTTGTCAGAAATTCGTGGAGCTTGTCAGAAGCTCGAGGAATTTGTCAGTAGTTCGAAGAACGTGTCAAAAGTTTGTGGAACTTCTCAGAAGTTCGTGGAACTTGTCAGAAGTTCGTAGAACTCGTCAGAAGTTCGAGGAACTTCTCAGAAGTTTGAAGAACTTCTCAGAAGTTTGAAGAACTTCTCAGAAGTTTGAAGAACTTCTCAGAAGTTTGAAGAACTTGAGAAACTTCTCAGAAGTTTGAGAAACTTCTCAGTAGTTCGAGGCACTTGTCAGAAGTTCGACGAAGTTCTCAGAAGTTCGAGGAACTTCTCAGAAGTTCGAGGAACTTCTCAGAAGTTCGAGTAACTTCTCAGAAGTTTGAGGAACTTCTCAGAAGTTTGAGAAACTTCTCAGAAGTTTGAGAAACTTCTCAAAAGTTTGAGAAGTTTGAGATAACTTCAAAGAAGTTCGAGGAACTTCTCAGAAGTTTGAGAAACTTCTCAGAAGTTTGAGAAACTTTACAGAAAAACTTCTCAGAAGTTTGAAAAACTTCTCAGAAGTTTGAAAAACTTCTCAGAAGTTTGAAAAACTTCTCAGAAGTTTAAAAAACTTCTCAGAAGTTTGAGGAACTTCTCAAAAGTTTGAGGAACTTCTCGGAAGTTTGAAGAACTTCTCAGAAGTTTGAGAAACTTCTCAGAAGTTTGAGGAACAATGTCAGGATAGAAAAGTTCAGCAAAGTCTAATAACCTTCAGCGAAAATCTTTAGCGACTTTCCCTAAATTTTAAAGAACTTTAAAAAATTGATACGAAGTTTCAAACATTTTATCGAAGCTCAAAGAAATTTAGTGAAATTCCAAGAGTTTGAGGTTAGCTTCAATAAGATTACGAGAATTTTGGAGAAATTTTAGGACCTTTGGTGAAGTTCTAGAAGTACGTTTAGAGATGTTCAAGTACTTCAAAGAGCACCAGCAAAGTTCCAAAAATTTCAGTGAAGTTCCGAAAACATAAGAAAGGTTAAACAAATTTTACCAATGTTTTAATGTCTCCCTATAACTTTGTGAAGATCCAACAACTTCAGCAATGTTCCAAAAATTTCAACGAAGTTTCAACAATTGGTGCGAAGTTCCAAACACTTCGACGAAGCTCCATGTTAGTTAAATTCCAAGAATTTGCGAGCAGATAATAACTTCATTTAAATTCTTCGAATTTTGGATACATTCCAGGAGCTTTGGAGAAGTTCCTAGAACTACGTATGGAGTTGTTCAAGTACTTGAAATAATACAGGTTAATACAATTTCAACAAACCCTACAATTTGCGAAGATCCAAGCACTTCAGCGATGTTCCGTAAATTTTAAAAAAGTTTCAAAAGTTCATGCGAAGTTTCAAACATTTCAACGAAGCTCCAAAATTTTTAGCGAAGTTCCAAGAACTTGAGATAAGCTCCGATAAGAACTTAAAATAAATTCCAAGAATTTTGGAGAAATTCGTGGAGTTTTGGTGAAGTTTTGAGAACTACATATGAAGATGTTTAAGTACTTGAAATAAGTCTCAACAAATTTAGCAAAGGTCCAAGAGCACCAGCAATGTTCCAAAAACTCTAGTGAAGTTCCGAAAACACTAAAAGGGTTTACTTAATTTCACCAATGTTTTAATGTCTCCCTCCAATTTAACCAATTTCCAAGAAGTTCAGCTATATATCAGAATAAATTCCGTAATTTTCAAAGAAGTTTCAAAAATGGTTGCGAAGTTCCAAAAAATTCAGCAAAATTCCGGGAACATGAGATAAGTTCGGATAAGAACTTCAAATAAATTTCGAGAATTTCGGATACATTCCAGGAGCTTTGGTGAAGTTCCTAGAACTACATATGAAGATGTTCAAGTACTTAAATAAGCCCCAAAACATTTTAGCAAAGATTCGAGAGCACCAGCAATGTTCCAAAAATTTCAGCAATGTTCCCAAAACATAAAAAAGTTAAGCAAATTTCACCAATGTTTCAATGTCCCCCTATAACTTAGCGAAGTTCCCGGAACTTCAGCGATGTTCCGTAATTTTTTCAAAGAAGTTTCAACGCTTGATGCAAAGTTTCAGACTCTTCAACGAAGCTCCATAAAAAAATAGCGAAATTCCAAGAAGTTGAGATAACCTCCAATAAGAATTTCCAATATATTCCGAGAATTTTGGAGAAATTCGTGGAGTTTTGGTGAAGTTTTTAGAACTACATATGAAGATGTTTAAGTACTTGAAATAAGTCCCAAAAAATTTAGCCAAGGGTCCAAGGACACTAGCAATGTTCCAAAAACTTTAGCGAAGTTCCAAAAGCACTTAAAGGGGTTACAAAAATTCACCAATGTTTTAATGTCTCCCTCCAATTTAGCGAAGTTCCAAGAACTTCAGCGATGTTCCGTAAGTTTCAAAAATGGTTGCGAACTTCCAAGAAATTCAGCGAAATTCCGAGAACTTGAGATAAGCTGCGATAAGAACTTCAAATAAATTCTGAGAATTTTGGAGACATTCCAGGAGTTTTGGTGAAGTCCTTAGAACTACATGTGGAGATGCTCAAGCACTTGAAATAAGTCCCGAAATTGTTTGAAAAGGTCCAACCAATGTTCAATTACCTTTAGCAAAGTTCCAAAAAATTCAGTGAAGTGTGAAGAACATTTACATTTGTAATAATGTTGTGATTGTTATAACCATGTTTTCTCCATCCCTCCATTTCATTCCAGCTCGAAGAGAAAACCATCGAACTGGAGGGTACCAAAGCTCAACTGCGGGTGCTGGAATCCAAACAGAGCGGTAAGTCCTCCTCGTCGTCCGGTTTCAGCCCGGAGCACCACCATCACCATGGCAGCACCACGACGTCACCGTTAATTACATCCGCCGGTGCCGCCGCCTCAGCTACCTCCACCATGCTGAAGGGGCCTACCGCCAGCACCACCTCGGTGGTGGTAACTACTTCGGCCGGTGGTATCGTCAGCCATCAGCATCGATCCGCCTCTACCTCGGAACTGGCCCAACTGTCGCCAGTTCACCAGCTTCATCACCATCAACAGCTGCAGCAGCAGCGGGATCTGGCGCTAAGGCTGGCCCAGTCTCAGGTTTCCACGCCCAGCATGAAGGCGATGACACCGCTGGCCATGGACGAGATCCAGCAGCACTCCAGTAGTACCGAGTCGGCGCAGGATCAGGCCGAGCGGGATTCACCCGGCCGACTGCAGTGTCCGGAGACTCCACGGAGGAGGCCCAGCAAGATTCCCCTCGCGGGGACCAAGGGCTACGTGGCGCCCAAACCTCCTTCCGGGAGAAATTTCATGGCCTCGCAGCAGCGAGGGGAGAAGAGTTCCCCCTCGCCATCCGCTTCGTTGACAAACAAGTCACTAAACAAAAGCACCGGTAGTTTGAACATGAAATCGACCGGGCCGAGCTCGATAACCAGTGCTAACAAGGACAAGAAGGACGTGAGTCTGAACCGTCCCGAGTCGGCTCAAAGCTGGCGTCGGGACACATCTCTCGAAAAAAGCCGTAGTTCCTCAATTCCGGTCTCCAAAGGAGGTGGTGGTGGTGGCTCGCCGACGGTGGTCAAACCGCCGTCGGTGGTGAGCAGCTCACCGCTTCCGAAGGCGAAACGGGACTCGCTAACGACACGGGTAAAAAATTTGGACTCGCTTTCGCGGCTCCAGTCGGCGGCATCGGCCTCGACCGGCAATCTGAGCAAGTCCAGCTCGAAGAAAGATCTGAGTTCCAGTTTCACGACCGGACAGCTGCGCGACCGGAAGCAAAGTGCTAGCGCGATCCGCCGGGTCAGTAGTGCTTCCATCGGACGGGGCTCCTCGTCGTCTTCGGCGGCCGAGCAGAATAACAATAACGGTTCTTCCGCGGGGGCCACGGCCGATTCCGGCCCGACTGGGGGCAGCGGCTCCGGCGACAGCGGAAAGGTACGAAACATTCGTTCGACGTTTTGGAATTGGTTGAAGATCTAAGTTTTCGTTTTCCGTTTCTCCATGGGAGTTCCCCCGAGTTGGCTCCGAACACGCAATTTAACCGGAAGAAGTCGTAACATAGAAAACTCCTTAAATCGAGTCACTTTAAAAAAAAAAAAAAGTTTTAACCGTTCCTTTTAACCTGTCCCCGTTTTTACGTATTGTGTGAAACATATCAGTTCGCGAAGTGTTAATTTCAGACTGAATCGTGAATAAGTGATTTCTTTTTGAGCAAAATCTCGCGCAGGGTGTCTAACTAATAAGCTAGGAGTTATCAAAAATAAAGTGATTTCATTGGTTTCGACGATGAAGAATTCGGATTTGGAGAGCGTACACTCGAAGTGAAAACGAAACGATGGCCTTATGCACGATCAGTGTTGTTGTCTACTACCTACTAGTTTGCTAAAACGAACATACGTGTGTGTTTCTAAAAGCCTGAACTGACTGAACCCGCCCCCCACTTTAATGTACTCGTCATTTGTTACTCTCTCTCTCTCTCTCACTGTGTTTTCCACTAACATCTATCCACCTACTTAATCACCCGGGAAACAAAATCTCTGGAAAAAAAACACACACAATCAAAAACGATCGGAGCTAAAATCGGCAAAAGTATAACCGGTGAGCGGTGAGCACCCTTCAGCATTCATCACCACAGCGAACGCCATCGGTGGACCCCCCGAGAACTACAACAATCATCAGCAATCCCCCGTGAAATCCGCCGCGCGTAAAGTAAGCTGTGAGCGCTGTGAGAATCAAATTCAGATCAGAGTTGTTTTGGTTCCACTGCCTGCCAACCTAAAGACCAAAAGCCTGCATTCGAAGGATTTTTACAAAAAAAAAGAAAACAACAGTCCTACTAAAACAAACCTCTGTTAATAGTCCACACAAAAACACCTCCACACACACACACACATCCGGCTTAGCTACTAGCAATAAAACAATAAAAATCAACAAACCGACCCAGTCCGACCGACCGTTTGCAGGATTTTTGTGGTTCTACTGTTTCTTCTTGTTTCGTAAGTCATGTTATATTTTTTATGTTTTTGATTTTTATTTTCCTTTACTTTCCTTCACTTTCTCAACTCATTATATACCAACCAACACGTGCTTCGTATTTACGCGTATGGGTTTCTGCTTCTTTCGTTTTTTTGGATTACTCTGTCTGGTGATAAGGATTTTTTTTTCGTTTTTAGTTTTTAGTTTTTGTTTTGTTGTAGAACATTTTTTTTTTATTTAGATCATTTCAGTCTGTAGAATTAGCTTAGCTTTTGGGAACCAATTTTCGGTATCGTTACGCTTTTGTGCTTCTATTTTCGTAGTTTGTAGTAAGATTTTTTTTTTCAATGCCCGAAATTGAACTTGTATATTTATTTCTATGGAAAAAACAATGTGAGCTCAGTTGGGGATGGGTTCAATATTTTAACGTGCGCGTAACGCTTAACTGAATTAAATATGTAGTAGGGTAGAGCGCTACTTAGTCGTAAATACCCGTTTCCGTTCTATCGAGTTGAAAACGTCAATAATGTCAATGATTTTACCGAATCAATAATACGTTTATTTATATACTTTAGTTCAAAAGCTGCAATACAAAGCAAAGTCTATAAAAGTGCAAAGTATGGATACTCACTCCTCATTGTTCTCAAAAACAAAAGAAGCGTTCCTAGGGAATCCATTTTGCTGCCTTCATCCATATGATCTGATGTGTCCGGAAAGTAGTCCCGGAATAGAAAGATAGCTTGATAAATACTGGAGATGTTTCTTATTTCAAGGTCCAACGTATCATCCTCAATACTTGTCAATTGCACCGTTATATAGTGTTCCAGTGATTGCTATGATCCAACATTTCCCCCCTAAGGTTTTGTCATCCAGTAGTCCTCTTTCCAAGAGTGGAGTTCCCGGATGGGCTGCCTCCTCAATTGCATCTGTTGGTTCTGGATCGTCGATACCTTCAGATTCGGCGTCTAATGTTGGATTGGAGAAATCTGAATCCGTTAACTCCAGAATTGCTGAGTCGTCCAAACGTTGTTCCTCTAAACGCGGTCTTGTTGCAGGTTCTTCTGGAGGAATGGCTGCTGCTGGAACGGTCAATCCAAACTCGTCGAAGAAAACCGAAAGTGGCGTCGAATGTTCTGCTCTTTTCAGCATTATCTCCGAGAAAAACGTTGTAGGTAACGTTTCCCACCTTCTCGATGACCATCGCTGGTTCCCATTGCTAAGAATTTTCTTGATGAACCTTGATAAACAGGCTGCAGCAGCGATGATATGGTGCGTATCGACCTACCGAACATCATTTCAGCAGCGATATACTTGCAGAAATGTTTGCAGCACTTCCTCAAGCGTTTCTACTCCATCCGAACGAATTTTCCGAAGGCTTCTTTTCACGGTGTCCACAAATATTTCAGCCAAACCGTTGGATTGTGGATGGTAAGGTGGGGTACGGATGTGCCGAATACCGAGATTAGTGCAGAATACTTGGAATTCGTGTCCTGAAAATTGAGTGCCATTGTCGGATACGATTATCTCGGGTACACCAAACGTAGCGAATGACTGCTTCAATAGTTTGATGGTGGCTTTCGCTGTTGTCGATCTTGCTACGTGCACCTCAGGCCACTTGGAGTGCGGGTCGACCACCATCTACAGGTCCTGCGTAGTCGATGTGAATCCGGGTCCAGGGTTTACTTGGAATGGGCCACGATTCTAGTGTCGTTTTCGTCGGAGCTTTACCAGCTGTGGAACATGGTGCGCAGCGTTTGACGAATTCCTCGATATCGTTATCCATACCGGGCCAGTATACAAAGCTTCTTGCAATTGCCTTCATACGAACCATTCCTGGATGACCACGGTGGAATTGTTGCAGGATCCTTCGTCGAAACATGTTGGGAACGACGACTCTATCGCCGAACATCACGCAGCCGCTGATTACACTGAGCGATTCTCGTTTCTGTTGTAGTAGGGTTGAACTTCAGCATCGAACAGAGTTTTATTAAGCCAACCATCATGAATATGCTTTGCAACGGTTTCTGCCAGGATGCTTACCAAATCTTCTTTTATGGTGAGTGTTGCAATCACAAATTCTTCCTTTGGTTTATTGGTTCGGTCGATGATAACAAATCTGCACATCCGAAGTCGTTGGTGGACACATGTTGAATTTCGAAGTCGTAATTTAGCATCGTGAGTAAGCGAAAATAGACAGCAATGGCTTGTGGTCGGTCAACAATGTGAAATGTCGTCCGAGCAAATACTTATGGAACTTCGTCAATGGCGTAGACTAACGCAAGTCCTTCCTTTTCAGGTTGTCCATAATTACGTTCTGCGGGTGCAAGTGTCCTCGAAGCGTGTTGCACAACCTTCATGATGCCATCGGGAAACTGGTGAAAGATTACTGCATCGATGCCAGTGCTTGATGCGTCTGCTGGCTATGATCGGCAGCTTGGGGTCGTAGTGTGTCAACAACAAGTTTTAATGAAGAAGTATCTTGAACTTTTCGAAAGCTTGCTGACACTCGGATGTCCATTTCCACTTAGTTTCTTTCTTGAAAAGCTTGTCCATTGGATAGCACATTTGATTTTCTCGGCGTATGCACGGATACCTTGTCGGTCCACGATGTCTCCCAAGTAACGGATTTGCGACTGGAAGAAACTACACTTCTCTGCCTTGACGGTGCAATCCATACTACTTGAGACGTAGGAAAAGCTGGTTGAGTGATGCTGCATGCGACTCAAAGTCCCGGCCGAATACTATGGCATCGTCGAGGAAAGAGCGGACGCCAGGTATTCCTGCAATCATTCCATCAACCAGTCGTTGGAATGCTCCCGGTGCAGACTTCAACCCTGGAGCGAGGCGATTGAACCGGAATAAACCCCGATGCGTATTGATGGTGAGCAACTTTTTTGAATCGTCATCCACCTCGAGCTGCAAGTATGCATCGGAGAGGTCGATGATGCTGAATACGGAACTGCCATTGAGTTGGGTGAAAATTTCCTCCGGTGTGGGAAGCGGGTAGTGATTAGCTTCTAACGCCGCGTTGAGTCCTGCTGAATAGTCCGCACAGATACGAACCCGGCAGCTTGAACGGATTTTGGTTTGGAGAAGCAGTCACAGTAGCCTTCCTTGTGGCCGATACGGATGCACAGCTTGCACCGATGATTCGAGAATGGACAATCCCGAACATAGTGCATCTCGCCGCATTGCCAACGAGGTGTGGGAGGCGATTTACCTTCCGTCTTCGAGGACTGTTGTTGTCGAGAGATTCCCCTCTTCTCCTGAACGGCGTGCACCGTTGGTTTCGAGCTTGTCTGACGCTCGATCATGGATGTGTCCGCCTTGAGATTGACGAGCCGTTGATAGTCGGCGATCAAGTTTTGGAGTGAGCTTCGGGAGCTTCTGGTGTTTAGCTTCGATCCGGGAGAGTAGCCTGGCTCGTATGTCTGCATAGCAATGGCTTTTGAGACCGCAGACAAACACCAAGCATTTGAATTGGTCAATCTTCACGTTCTTGAAATCGAAATCCTCGCAAGCACGGTTGACTTTGCCTCCGTAGCTGAAGATGTCTTCTGCTTCAGATTTCACGAGCTGCAGGCACTGATTTCGCTTGTTGAAGATGGAGGTTTGTGACCCGAAAATCTTCTTTAGGGTGTCGACTGTCTTTTGGAAGCTTCGGCAGGATGTAGTTGGTGCACCGGGTGTGTGACAGCAATCGGACCTTGGCGGAATCTTCCAGGTTCTTGGCATCCGAATCGAAAAGATCCGCGTACCTGCTGTATCACTTCTCGAAGGTGATTCCAACGAAAATTCGCTGATGTTCGTTGCCAAGGCCTTGAGTGTTTGCTCCGGGTTGCTATGAACTTGATTGGGTTCCGCTAGCTTCTGTAGGAGCGGTGCCATCTGGAGAATTACTTCCTGAAGTTCTGCCATCGCTTCTGGTTCTTGAATCCTCATGGCCAAATTGATGTGTC